TTTTTTTTTTTTTTTTTTTTTGAGGGCTGGGGCTGGGGATGCGCCGCCCCATGGCGCTTCCCGAATCCCGAACCCCCCTCCCCACTGGCCGCTATGCGGCCTCAAAGGCCGCGCGGCCGCGCGGACACGTCCGCGGGGTCGCGGCCTAGGCCGCGGCCGCGGACTTGGCCGCGGATGGCCGTCGCCGAGGGGGATTCATAGGTTTTCGGTCTCTTTTTTTGCTACCATCTTCACCCCAATAGAACGCCCAGTCATTATCACTGTATCTAGACTGAAAGTTGCACCAAATACAGCTATAAGGATCGGCCGTTCTATTCGGGTGACGACGGTAGTTCTTAGTAGTTTCCACTCAATTGCTCAACACGACACATGGGTAACAGTGTAACTGTCAACAACCACAACTCAACTTCAAACTCCCCACGATCCCCACGATACAAGAATGTGTACATTGTGTAGGGCTTCCCTCCTTTTAAAAAGGGAATGTTCCAAAAAAAGAAGTAACAAACAAGTTTGTGGGAGGCAAGCGTTCACAATGACATTGCTTTTTCAAAATTTTGATCCTTCAATGTCAGCTCTTCCTATCATTGTCGAAGCAGAATCCCCCAAGTGTTGGATAGTTCACTCACCAACAGGAACATTACCAGGGTTTAGACCGTCGTGAGATGGTCATGAGATGGGTTCGTCTTACCATACTGATGGAGCCTCGTCGCAAAATTGTTGTCCAATTCAACACAACAGAAACAGTTGGTTCGCAGAATTGGTAATTGTGCTTTGCTGAACAGCCAGCGGTTGCAAAGCTACTGACTGAGCACCAAGTCAGAATCTGTATAGAAAAGAAAACTTGGGCTATGAGGACCGAAAGAACAAACAACGTACAGATAATGTCACGCTTTCCGAATTTCCTTATCAACCTCTGCCTTTCGGTCGCCAGCCTTGAATTCCAGTACCTGCAAACAATGAGAATATGCAGAAGGCAGTGTTGGAGTAGAGATCACGAGCTCAAGTCCTGAAGAAAACAGATCTATACAACGCTGTATCGAGTGCTATTAACAAACAAACAAACAAACAAACAAACAAACAAACACACAAACAAACAAACAAACAAACAAACAAACAAACAAACAAAACAAACAAACAAACAAACAAACAAACATAAAACGACAAACGAAAAAGTGCAACCCACCTATTTCAGATTGTGACAATGCGGAATCACATTTAGAGCGTCATTTCTTGCCGTCTTGTTGCAGTTAAATGTATGGCATTCCCTAGCAGATGCTTCCTATCACCTCACTGGCGATATGCCACCACCACAGCCATTGCTGCACAATCAGGATATGATTATCATCACAGTGACCTTCGGGCTTCTCTCAGTGTAGTTCTGTTCCTGTGTTCAGCGTGGTGTTATCTTTTGATTCTTTTCTGATGCAAGGTATCCCAACAGTACACCCGAGGCTCTTTTCCCTCGTGCTCGATTTTGCCCGCCCCTGGATCACTGAAGCATCACAGGGCAAGGGGCCGGCTGCGGAGCATTACCAGCCTTTTGGTTCGGTACGCCGAACCTGACCCGCCCGTGTTCACTGGCCCAAGACAGGGACCTTGTCTCTTTGTCACTGCGTCCTGCTGATTTAAAACGCCACTCCATCAAGTAACAGGGCCTGTTTCGACAAACCAAAATTTGCATTTCCCCGCACCTAAAATCTACAGTGCTGCCCTGAGGAAAACTAGTTGTCAGGAAAAAAAAAATAGGGACCTTGTCGCTGCGTACTGGAGCCTAAAATGATAAAATCTAGTGGTGCGTTACGCCATCGAGTAACGGACCGAAGTCACGGAACCTCTGGTCCTCTACCAGGCCAGGGCACGGTAGATTCTCGGTCCGGTACTTGATGACAAGAAAGGTAAACGGTGCAGGGGCCGTTGGAATTGCGGCTTAAACCACTACCGTCTTCACCCGAATAGAACGCCCAGTCATTATCGCTGCATCTGGACTGAAAGTTGGGCCAAATGCAGCTATAATGACCGGGGGTTCTATTCGGGTGAAGACGGTAGTACCTTTGCCGTTTCTTTTCGGCAAGTTTTAGCCTATTCCCAAACTTTGAGGAGGTCGGGCCCGACAACGGCTGCCGTTGATAAATCTGATCGGCGGCCGTCATTTCGTTTAGTTCGGCCTCCTGAAAGGTCGGAGGCCCACTATTTGCCGAACCGACAAAGGTACTAGTGGTTTAAGGGGAGGAGGGATGACCCTGGAATGCTGATTGAAAAAATGATAAACTCAAGGTGTTTGGTGACCAGTCAGAGAATACAGTTCCCCAAGGAATCAGACTCCCACTCAACCTCAGTCAACGAAGAACCAAACTCCTTAGTACAGGGGTAGAAGCAATGAAAAAAATCATTTAAAAATGGCTTTAATGTATAGGGCCTATAGGCGTAATAATAATTTATGGGCAGCATAACCTCCCAATACAGCAACAAAAGGGAGTGACTTTGACATTGATGTCGACAGGAAAAGTGGTGCTTGTTTGCAACCGAGGGACACAAGCAGGCCCATAACCTTGATCCCTGGAAAGAGTATAGTGATCATCATCGTCATCATCTGGGCATGAGGAGGACCACTTGCTGTTGATGATGATGATGATGATGATGATGATGATGATGATGATGACAACGATGATGATGGAAATGACATGATGAAGATGATGGTGATGATGAGGATGGTCAGGCACTTGCCTTCTTACTAAGTAATAGTTAGATGAATAAGGAGAGAAGAAACGGAGTTCCTAACCTCCCACGAAGTAGCATCAGCCAAAGACCCTTTTATCTCCAAGGCATAAGCGATGAACGATCATGAACCATATGGTTCAATCACAAGAACCAGACATGGGAACGGAACCATATGGTTCAACGTTCCAATCAGAACAACCAGACGATGGAAATGGACCCATCATGAACCTGTCAATCTCATTACTCGTTTTAAGGAAAGGGCGGCAAAGGGGAGAAGAAACTCCTCGCGCAGATGCAGACACTAAACAATGACCCATGCTCAGTAGGGACAGTGTCCCAGGGAGGAATACAGACACACACACGCCCGTTCACACACACACGCACACACACACACACACACACACACACACACACATGCGTACGATGACAGTCGACACTGCGCTCACGTACGGCATGCCTGTGTGTTCCTAGCATGTAGGAGTCATGTAGTCTGTGACATCTGCCTACCCCATGCCATCCGATGCAGCAACTGCAACTGCAACTGCAAGATTTGGATGCGATGCTTCAGTGACTACCGACTTCACCCGAATAGAACGCCCGGTCATTATAGCTGCATCTGGACCGAAAGTTGTGTCAAATACAGCTATAATGACTGGGCGTTCTATTGGGGTGATGGTAGCCTCTTGTGCCATTCTAGAGTAGTCTGCTTCAGTGGTGAGTACTGAGAACTGTGTGAAGTTTGCAGCCCGTCGGGGTTGCGTTTTCCCCCCCTGAGACATTTCAACGCCAATTAATTTCAACATCGGTGGTCGGGAGGGTGGGCATTTTGAGATTTTGGGGCCTTGCAAGGGCCAGGACCGTGTAGGACCGGTAGCTGCCCGTAGGAGGCTGAGGAGGCTGCGGTCCTTAAGCCTTTTTCGAAACTGAAACGGCGCAGCTCCACTTTTCTCGAATAGAACACGTACACTTCATATTCGAATACACTGTGTACCCTTTCTATTCGGATTTCGGAAAGAAAAAACTCGTTGTATTCCAATAAAATTACTTTTTTTTTTTTTGGGGGGGAGGTCAGCGTCTGCCCTTGTGCTCCCCGCCACTGACATGCTGCATGCTGCAAAACTCTCTCTCTCTCTCTCTCTCT